GTAGCCCAGGCTGGTCTCGAACTCGCAACGATCCTCCTGCCTCAGCCTCCCGAGTGCTGGGATTACAGGCGTGCACCACCACACCCGGCTTTACACTGAGAAATTCTGAAGGGACTGCTCAGTGTCAGCTCTAGGGCCAGATTTCCCACGCCCTGCTACCCTTTGTCTCTAACCTGCTTGATGTTTCCTCCTGGCACTTGCCTGGCTTGCAGAGCGCCGCTGGATCCGTTCATTACCAGCTCCCCAACCCGCAGGGGGACAGGGACAGTGCCTGACTAAGTGTGCCTGCATCTGTAGGGCTCAGCAACATTTGCTAAGAAAGTAGTAAACCCTTAACCTTGCGCATTCTCTCTACCCAGTGGGAACAATTTACACTTTTCCCTCTTTTATTATGAGTGCCTATTAACTTTACAAAACATTGGGTTTCAATGCGCATAAAAACTTTTGATCATATCCATCCCCCTGTCCCTCCCCCTTCACCCCCTTACTCCTTTTAGCAACAGTCCCTTCTGCTTCCACACCATCTTTTTAAGATTCCATACATTAGGGAGCCAGTTTAAACTCCTGATACTGAAGCAGATTGTTTGTGTATTGTGCGTGCTGCCTTGGTGTCGTATGTGGTCACCCCGTCACCCCTGGGGATTGAACACAGGGCCTGAATCACGCTAGGTAAACACTCTACCACCGAGCTGCATCTCAGCTTTATTTTATTTTGCAATAGGTTCTTCCTCAATTGCCAACCAAGTTGGCTTTGAACTTGCAAGTCTACTGCTCAGCCTCCTGGGAAGCTGGGGTGGTAAGTGCGCACCCTGGTGCTTGGCTGTATTTTGTTCTTGCTTTTCAGGGTCTCCCTGTGTAGTCCAGGCCAGTCTTGAAGCTGCTGGCTCACCCATGCTGGCCTTGACATTTTGATCTTTCTGCCTCAGCCTGCCAAGCACTGGAATTGCAGGCTTGCATCACTAGGCTTGGTGCTAGCTGTATTTTTCTTTTTTTTCATGTTTCATCTGAAATCCTCTGAGAGGGGAAATAATCAATTCCACTTAACAGTCAAGAACCTAAAGCGGGTGCCGGGAGTGGTGGCGCATGCCTGTAATCCCAGCACTCGGGAGGCTGAGGCAGGAGGATCGTTGCAAGTTCAACACCAGCCTGGGCCACAAAATGATCTCAAAGCCAGCCTCAACTGCATAGTGAGGCACTGTTTCAGAAAGACAAAAAAAAAAAAAAAAAAAAAAGAAGAAGAAGAACCTAAAGCGCTACACTTTCAAATGCAAAAAGGGAATCCTCCCTTTCCTGGACACAATAACTTCTCTAGGGCATAAAGTCCTTTGGGTTGCTAGAGGCAAGACCTGCTCAGATAAACTCTCTTTGAATCAAAAGGTAATCATTGATGTTTCAGCCGCTAATCCACTTAGTGTCCTTCCCCTTACTTCCCAGGCCCCTTCCTGATGGTTTACAAAAGATAAATCTTCCAGTCCCCAGGCTCCGGTGAGCAACTGCAAGACAACCCACTGCGGATGAAGAGACAAAGGCAGGTTTCTGGGAGGGATGAAAGACCACCTACCCTGCCAAAGTGAAAATGAATGGGACAGCCCGGTGAGCTGCAAGGGGTCGTTTGGGTTTTATCCCTCAGAGGAACTCCTTCCTCTCCCTTTCAAAAACATTAGGTTCTGGGGCTAGGGATATAGCTCAGTGGCACAAGCGCCTGCCTGGCAAGAGCAAAGTTGTGAGTTCGATCCCTGGTACCGCAGGAAAAAAAAAAAAAAAAAAAAGATTAGGTTCACCGGGCCTGGTGGCCCACGCCTGTAATCCCAGCACTCAGGAGGCTGAGGCAGGAGGATTGCTGTGAGTTCGAGACCAGCCTGGGCTACAAAGTGAGCTCAAAGAAAAAAAAAAAAAAGATTAGGCTTTTTTGAAGGGAGTCACACCCACCCAGTCCAGGTCCTCAAACCCTAGGCCTTGACCTTGCTTGGCGGGCTCCAGTCGCACCCAAGGATGGTGGCGTTGGCTCGGGCTGGGCTCGGTTTGGTCCTTCACAAAGGGACTTGTGCCGCGCCTGCCTGCAAGAGCCGCTCAAAGGGAAGCACCGCTGCCCCTCTGCAAGCCGAGGGGTGCTTTGGCCGGCTTCCTTCGTCTTTTTCCAAACAGAACCAAGCTCCTATATAAAATTCATACATTTTTGGCAGGAGAGAAATCCTCCCATTGGAAGGAACAGATGTTCTGCGAGTAACTTTTGCCGTTCGACGCTGTTCCTAATGTCATCGTTTTAAAGTGTGTGGGGATGTTAACTTTAAAACAATTTTTAAAAAAATAAATGTCAACATGTTCTGGGCACTTTTTCCATCTGCATCTGCGGCATACACATCACCAGCCCTCCCACCACCTCTTTAAATTTCCAGAGAACAGCTGGGGATTGGAAAACACATTACAAAGTGAAAGCAGAAAATCCAACAAGTACGTTAATGTATAACCTAACGCGCGGAAAGTCGCAGGCCGGAGCGGGGCAGTCCCGATCACGCACGTGCGCCTTCGCGGCTGGTCGCAGGAGTCCCGGGAAGCAGTGCGCGCAGGTCCTCGTGGGACCCAGGCCCGGCCCCGCAGTCCACCCGCAGCCGCGGGAGGCGCCGGGCTGTGGCGGCGCGCGGTCTGCAGCGCGCCCCCGGGGGCTGCAAGCGCTCGCCCAGGTGGAAGTCAGCGCTCGGCGCGGCCGGCCGCGGGAGGCGCCGGGCTCAGCTCAGCCAGAGCCGCCGCCCCACTGTGCCCCACGGAGCTCTCCCAGCCGGGCCTCCCGACCCGGGGCGGCAATCGCAGACTGCAGCCCGAGGTCCCAGGCAGGCCAGAGGTGCGCGGTCTGAAGAGGCCGCGCCCGGGGGGCCGAGCGGAGCTGTGGGCGGCCTCCGGGGGTCCCCAGGCGAGGCTCGAGGAGTGCAATCGAACGCGGGGTCGGCTAGGAAGAGGTTAAGGCCAGAGCCACCCGCAGGCTTCCCCCTAGTCTCGCGTTTCCTCTGCCCTTATTCCAAAAATCGATGCCCGGGGCGGCGGGGGCGGCGCGGGCGCTGTCCGCGGTGCTGACTCCCGGGCCCGGCCGCGCGGCCGGCTCCCGCGCTGCCCGCCCCTGCCCTGCTCGCAGCCTGACGGCCATCTTATGGTCTCAGCCGCGCCGGGAGGGTGGACAATGAAGCCGAGTTTCACTAGTTTTCTTTCTTTCCCCCAAGTGCGTGGAAGAGCAGGGGGTGGACGAAACGGGAGCGGCTGTGGGGCTGGGTGGAGGCGGTGCGCGCCCCAGCTGCCCCCGCACGCCGCGGCCCGGCAGGGCCGACTCTAATGGCCCCCTCGGCTTCCCAGAGCTGAGGCCGGCACGTTTGTGTGTACCCATGCTCCTCTCCAGGTCACAGTTTGCGCTGAAGTTTCTAGACCCGTCATTTGTGCCCATTACGAATTCTCTCACCCAGGAACTCCACGAGAAACCTTCTAAGTGGACATTTAATCGGACAGCGTTTTTACATCAAAGGTAGGATAGGAGGAGAATATCCAAAAGGTCTTTTGGAATGTGGGGGCTCCAAAATCAAAACAAACAAACCCAAAACAACAAAAGCACCCCCCTCCCCCACGCATTTGCGTGGTCTTGCTGCCCTAACTGCGCAAGGCAACGTTGGTAACGCTCTCAAATGGATGGTGAATTTGAATGGCAAAAAATGTGTATTTCCCTACTTGGCCTAAATTGAGCACCACCATATACAGTTAATAAGCTTGACTAAGACTACCAAAGCTGCCAATTTTTAAAAATGTTAATTGCAAAAAGACTACCCAATACACTTTCATTTTCTCATAAAAAATAAATAAAATTGTATTATTCTACTGAAACACACAGAAAATATACTCTACCTGTCAAATTACTAGTAAGGATATAGGCCCAAGTATGTGCAGGTAATTATGATTTTGTTTTGGTTTTGGCTGTTTTCATTATCATTTAGCTTATTATAAAGCTATCTAATGTCGTACTTCATTCCTATGAGTTGTAACAGCCTTGGTTTACACATGAAGAAGTTTTTCTCAATTTTTTTTTGTTTTTAGGTGTGAACAAGAAAGATGAAGTTTATTCAAATTTAATTGCTCTCATAAGTAATTCTGGTCTACTTTTAGAACCACAGATAAATTCTTCTCCTTCCTTCTTGGTGAGACTGTTGTGCTACAAAATGCAATGTGAGCCATCTAGTGTATTCATTAGGGGTGTGAATACTTATTTTACAAACCACTCTACTTAAGGAGCTATGTTTGGGGCAGAGCACTTCTAGTTATTTGCCTTTTTTAAAAAAACTATAATACATTGCCAAATTAAAGCAAATCCAATGGATATCCATAGTGTCAAGAAAATATTATTTGAAATACAGTCATATGTTTATCATCACAGTTTTATAAATGTTTGTTTACATTCATGGAAATTGATTAATTCTAAATCCAAGTGATTTCTTTTACACTTTTGGATTTTTAATCCTATATTAATTTTATAGATAACTCAGAAGATTTTGAAGAGTACAACACATTATACCTTTCCCCAATACACAGTTCTAGCTCAATAAGAGTAGTCTTTCCACACTAGGGTGTATGACCCTAATGACCATCCAATCAGAAGAACATTTCCTTCTCAAAAGTTCCCTTTCAATCCATTTTTAGGTAATCTTTAATTAATTATCCGCAATATCATTTTAAATTTGACTTTAAGCTAGTAAGAACAAGCTGGTAACTTTGGATTGAAGATGTCAGTTTATGTTGTTCTACCCAGTATGTTGAATAATAAAGACATTCTTTGCACTTGATCTTAGCCAAAAGGCCGAGAAGCCATAAAAGACATTCTTTGAAATAAAAGTCCAAACGAAGTTTTGATATGCCAAATATTTCATTTTATTCCTGCTATTTTTAGGTAAATAGCACAGGAGTTTCAATGAAATTTCTTAGCACCGGAGAATCTAACAGCAAAGTAACATGTTATTGGCCTCAAATATTTTAAATAGCTGAGACTATAAGAGGAGACACTTGATTTTACTTAAAGCTCAATACGAAGCCAACTTGAAGTTAGTTCTCTGTCTCACTCTTGTCTTAATTATTCTGTGTTGTTAGAATCTAAAACATTTTCAGGTTTAAAATCATCTCTTTTTCTAAGGATTAGATCTACACCACTAAATTGTGTTTCTGTATAACCAAGCACAAAAAAAATCCCTGGTTCATTATTCAAAGGGCCTTAATAAGATTATCATCTCATTTCTATTAAATATTCAGCTACACCCACTGCTATTCCTATTTTCATATTTTAGTAGTAGATAGTGCTGTACTGACTCATACATATTTGGCTCTTATTTGGACACTAATGATATTTGATATTCTTGAACATCACAGTCCAATAGCAAACAAGTAGTCCCTAGTTACAAACTCCAAGTCACCAATGTTTGTGCATTAATATGAGCTCTTTGGGGCCTGAGTAAATTGTCTCCCTGTATTCTCTGTCACAGTTTGGCATATGCCTCATCTTGAATTAAATACACTTCTCAAATAGAGCAGAAAACCAAGAAATGGCAGCTAAAACTATAGGTTGTGCTTGCAAGCCTCAAAGGATTACATTCAGAACTGAAAGATTAGAACTTGTCTGTATATTCCGAAGCAGTCTTTTCTTTAAAGACCACAATTATGAATATATAATCTTTCTTGGATTCATTGTGCTTAAGATTCTTATCTGAATGAAATGGCAGTGTAAGACATAAAATGGAAATTCGGTTCTTTGGAATGGAATGCATTTAATGAATTTCTTTTTATTTTAGGCAAGAAATTCTTCAGCATGTCGATGTAATAAAAAATTTTTCTTTGACCAAGAATAGTGTTCGGATCGGACAACTGATGCACTATGATTATTCCAGCCATAAATATGTTTTCTCTATTAGCAATAACTTCCGATCACTGCTTCCAGATGTGTCACCCATTGTGAATAAGCATTACAATATTTGTGCTGTGGTTGGAAATAGTGGAATCCTAACAGGGAGCCAGTGTGGACAAGAAATAGATAAATCAGATTTTGTTTTTCGTTGCAATTTTGCCCCTACGGAGGCATTCCAAAAAGATGTTGGAAGGAAAACCAACCTTACCACCTTCAACCCCAGCATTCTGGAAAAATATTACAACAATCTTTTGACCATTCAAGACCGTAACAACTTTTTCCTCAGTTTAAAAAAGCTTGATGGGGCCATTCTTTGGATCCCTGCGTTTTTCTTCCACACTTCAGCAACTGTTACCAGAACATTAGTTGACTTTTTCGTTGAACACAGAGGTCAGTTAAAAGTCCAATTGGCTTGGCCTGGAAATATAATGCAACATGTCAACAGGTGTGTATATTTTATTACGTTTAACTTATACCCCACCAGATGGCAAATTAGTATTGTAGCCTTTTTTTTTTTGGTACCAGGAATCGAACTCATGATCTCAGGCTTGCCAGGCAAGTGCTTATGCCGCTGAGCTACATCCCTGGCCCAGTATTGTTGTCTTGAGGGTAGAAGCCACCAATTAATTCTTGTTGTGACTAGTTTAGCACTTTAGAGCAAAGTACTGTTTTCTGTAATGGATGGATGAGTCATCCCAGTTTAAAAGTTTAACCTACCCTCTAGCTAATAGCCAAGTGCCAAATAGAGAGATTAGTGTTTCCCAGGTCTCCTCCCCACCCTGCTACATCTTGGTGGTAAACTTACTAAATAGTCATGGAAACTATCACAAATCAAGAAATTCTCTTTAACTAAATAGCTATACCCAAATAATGCCAATAGCTAAACTACACAAAATTTTTTTTAAAGAAGGTGCCATTGAATTAAAATTTGCCCTTTTGTTTCACGTTTAGATGTTTTGCAGATGTCAAAGATTAGCAAACCACCTAGATAAATCACAGATTGTGTAAGATGTCTTTATAATTTGATACTTGAATGCAAAAACTTGTTAAAAATATTATACAGTTTCATTGTTATCCCTTATGACTGTGATACAGTGACCATATTTTCATCTAATCTCATTATTTTCAGGTGTGGATGTACAAAAGAATCATTTGGGGGTTGGGGATGTAGCTCAATAATAGAGTGCCTGTGTGGCATGCATGAAGACATGAAGCCCTGGGCTCAATCCTCAACATCAAAAAAAGTCACTTAGTTTTAAAAAATACTGGTGCTTAGGCTGTAATTTCAGACAGTCTAATGCAATTTTTCTAGTAAGGAAGTGAGGACTATGTATTTGGTGTTTTTAATAACTCCCCAAATGAGTCTAGTGTGCATTCAGAATTGAAAGCCACTAGCCAGGGTATTCGATAGAGCAGGATCAACTGTAATATTTTTCTCTTTAAATCATCTGATCAGACTACCTCAATTCTAAATTCCACTATGTAAGAAACCCCAGTCCTAACAGAGCACCAGATGTCATAATTTAGGGTAGCTTCTGGAAGACCCAGTAACCAGAGAAACCTAAAGATTTTTATCCCACAATAGTTTGTGCTCGGGGCTGGGGATTTAGCTCAGCGGCAAAGCGCCTGCCTGGCAAGCACAAGGTCATGAGTTCAGTTCCCGGTACCGGAGAAAAACCAAAAAAAAAAAATTGTGCCCATTCTGTGGTCCCCTAAAGTCTTCTAAATTTAAGATATGTTTACTTGACCTCTCATTAAAAATGGTATTACAGTCTAATAAGCTGGTATGTCTCCAATAAATAGGGTGATTCCATTAATTTTAAATTAAAATTATTTTTTTAATTTATAAAAGAGGTACTGGAGTCAACTGAAGTACAGGGAGCAGGAGTTATTTATGTACAGTCACTGCCCAAATTGGGCAGAACCAAAATTGAAACCCAGGTCTTCTGTCAACTTGTCCCTTATCTTTGGGCCTCATCACTTTGCCCCCTCGTTATTGAATTTCAATAAACTTTAAGATTTCATTTGGAAGGGGAAAAGCCACTATGACTGTGCTGTGAGGTGGATTTGTCAGTCATTAGACTAGTCTAGAATCCAGACATGTCCAACCTTTTGATTTGTCAGGGACCACAGTGAATAAAGAGGAATTATTTGGGGCCACAATATATAATATAGCTAATGCATGAAGGTAATAAAACTTCCTTATTTATATTTGTTGTTATACCATTTTAAAAATAGAGCAGTCAAACTGGAGGCTGCAGGCTGGACAGACTCTAGACAAATCCACCTCCCATCCCAGTCCTGTTGACCTATCAGATTGAAACCTTTAACACTGGCCTCTGAATCCACATGTACTTATTGTTCCACAGGTACTGGAAAAACAAACATTTGTCACCCAAACGGCTAAGCACAGGTATTCTTATGTACACCCTTGCATCAGCAATATGTGAAGAGATCCACTTGTATGGATTTTGGCCTTTTGGATTTGATCCCAACACAAGGGAAGATCTTCCATACCATTATTATGACAAAAAAGGAACCAAATTTACTACCAAGTGGCAGGAGTCTCACCAACTGCCTGCTGAGTTTCAGCTGCTCTATCGAATGCATGGGGAAGGGCTCACCAAACTGACTCTGTCACACTGTGCCTAAGAACTCCGAATGGAAAGTGCCAAATGGTTGTTTAAAAAAGTGCCCCAAATCAAATTGAGTAGTCTTCTGAATAGAACCCGAGAGACTGTCTTATAAGGCTTTTTTGCCTCTTAAATGGAAAGATGTTTTTTTTGCACTGCTCTTTGAACAGTCTTAGCTGATGTCGCAGGACAGATGCACTGTAACCACGCGATTGAAACTTGACTGATGAAAGGAATGTTGCATTTGGAAGTACGCTGCTAACAAAATGGTTTGAGGTGTTTCCATGTTTGTATTGTAACAAAAACAGCTCCTGTGACAATGAGGACAAGAGCTATAGTTTTCCACAGCTCTGTTCAAGTACAGTCCTCATAATCAGAGACCTCTGGCCACTTGGGGCAGGATCTGTTTAGTCAGTGGGATCAAACTCTTCAGAATGGAAACAAAAAACTGTTTTGCACCAACACTACCCTCCTTTCTCTCTATCTTTCTCTCTTTCGCTCTTTCTTTCTTTCTTTCTTTCTTTCTTTCTTTCTTTCTTTCTTTCTTTCTTTCTTTCTTTCTTTCTTTCTACCATGTCTCTTCCTCTCCCTGCAATCCTGTCCCTTGCCCCATCACCATGGAGTTTAATAATTTGCTAGGAATCTTACTGAATTAGCTTTGCTTGTATGTGTTGCACCTGTATTTGATGTGTTCAAGGCTGTGGATCACTTTGATATTTCATGACAAACTGAGCAAATCATGATGAATCCCCACATGATTAATTTCATAAGAAATACCTTATAAAGTCCTCACTTGTCCATATGGTCATTCAAAGCAGGATGATCCCTCCGGGGTGAGTGGAATACAATTCATTGCGCCTCTCACTATCTGAAAGAAAACCTGTGGCGTGGATGCTGTTACATGTCTTCGCATGGGAATGATTAGGGCAGACAATAGCACTGTGGCCTCATCTACAAGGGCCTTCCAGCCTGCCTCCGACAGTCCCAGTCCAAACACCGAGCTTACTCAGTGAGTCAGGTAAATAGTCTGGGACACAAACAAAAAAATAAAGAATGTTTAAAAGTGGTGATGGAACCTGTACACTCTGCAGAGTTGTAACCATCTTACCTGTTCAGAGCCTTGAGAACCAGCAGGATTGGAGCAGATGAGAAAGCCTGAAGTTGGCCAGGCACCCCCATGTGAATAATGCGGAGGTGAGATGGTCTCAGTATGGTGCCCTCCACCACCAATCCAGAACTGTTTTCTCACTTTGAGATAACTTCAAACACTAGATGTTCCCTGTCTCCACTAAAATCAGATCTATATGCCTATAAATTAAGCATCTCCAAAGAGAAAAGGCACTGTAGAGTGGCAAGTCTTCATACTAAGTGGCCCTTGGAATTTGAGATTATGTAGATCTGTCATGAAGGAATTAGCTAGCCACTCTCCTTTTCATTACTTCAGCCTTAGAGGTAGAAATCACATCCCTCCCATCCTCAGCCTTTTACTGAGCAGCACTTTGTTTTTCCAGTTCAGCCCAAAGTCTGGCCAAGTTGATGTTAAATTTTAATAAGAGTTTCCTTTTTGTTTCCAAATGCCAGTTAAGCACATTTGTTTTATGTTTGAGTGGGATAGCTCATTCTTTTCCAGCAATTTCATCTAAACTGCTTGCAGTGTGACAAATATGGTTAAAACTAATTGCTGTTGCTCACTCATCAGCACATTACCCCTTTTTGGAAAGGTATAATCATGCCTAAAATTAAACCAAATACAATAAGCAAAGACAGTCATGTTCTGCCCAGTCCTAAAGCTGTATTGTTCTTTTCAGGAAGAAAATCAGAACAGCTTTCATAGACCCAAATATTAACTAATGAAAGAAAAATGACTCGGGTCAGGACCAATGGTGACACATCTTCCAATGTCACATGAATGTCAATTATCCAAACAGAGGGAAAAAAACAGGAATAGATATTTTGACATAGGAAATAAAAACCAGGTCTATATTTGAAATAACTATTAAGGCAAGATAAACAAAACATTTTAAAATTCAGTGGTACAATTTTATGGGAATCAAAACCACATCATGTTTAGTCTTTCCCTGTTACTTTAAAGAGCTTGAAAGAGGTTATTGATACAGTATTACCATTCTCACTGTCCTTGGGTAGGGTCGTTGTGAGATTGCTAACTGACAGAAGTATGTAGCTGGCTGTCCCTAAGCAATTAGTTCATTTGCTTTAGTCCTAATGTGCCCAGTTGTTTCTACTGCTCAAAGATGCATACAGGGTTTGAACCAGGAGGTCAAAGGAGCAAAAACACAGAGTCCATAAAACCAGTTCATTGTTCCAAAGTGAACTGTTTAAATTTGAATCTCATCACAATGCCAAGGTTTTCTATTTTTTTTTAAATTCAGAGAGATTATTTAAAAATCTTAATGCACACTTGCTCTATTTTAATCTTAGAGTGGGAGTACTTTCCCACCTGACCCCACCAGCATCTCAACTATAAAGCTAAGAGGAACTCAGAATAGTCAGGAATTGGACTTTTCTCCAGAACTAGAAGGTCTGAGAGGTCAGCTCTTCCCTGCTTCTAAGCAGGATTTCTTGGTGCTGATTGCAAAAGACCACCCTTCTCTTTGTTAAAACATTCTCTGAAGAAAATTCCAAGCCCTCCTGAAATTCTCTATTAACAACCTACATCCCTTTATTACAAAATATTTACATGCAACTTGTTAGTAAAGCATCTATCCCATTTTTCAGCACATAGTGCTCAACAAGGGCAGCTTTTACAGTGAAGAGTATTTTCATTGTTGGTTATGACTATACCTACAATTCCAGCATGGAAAAGAAGCAGCCGCTAGCTAATCACACAAGATCCCTTTTTATTGTTAAAGATTGGTTCAAAGATTAAAGCAATATGACCACCATCATGATCAAAAGACAGTGGGTCCCATGTGTCCCAATCAGAAGGCAGGGGTGTCAGTAACCAGAGCATGCTGATTCTCCCGTGTCTCCCAGGCTTGTATGGTCAAGAGCCATGAATTGGGCAAGAGGGGGTCTCACATGTGATTCAGCCAGATACACACCCCTGGTTTTGCACTGCCCTTACTTTGCTGGTTCTAGGCTAAATACATTCTTTGGTCAGAAAGTTTTCTCTTTTTAAGTACTTCTAGCAGAGCCCACCTCCAGCTGCAGGAATAAATTTCACCATCAATCTCCCTTAGGCTATCTGCACATGACACCACCACAAATGACCAATTAAGTTGCAGAGGAGAAAACTCCACAAACCTTTGGCAGCCTCCTTAATACTAGACCCACAGTTTTCACCAGTTGGTTGTTCTGTGTCATGTGCAGACATGTAGATCCTGAGGAGACAGGATTAATGCTGATCTCAAGAATTCCTCCTCTCATGCCTATAATTGATGATTAAAACATGTGGCTCCTCCACCTCATGTCTGTGTCTTCGCTACCCACTGTAAAAGTGTGTTTAGTAGTAAGTAGTGTGTACTCAGCAGTGCTGACTGTGATCACTGTGCCATCTGTCTGTGACCTGGATGTCAGACACCTTACCATGGGCCTACACAAGGACAGCTCCCAGGAAGAACCCTCCATCCCAGTCTTCTTGTGTGTAGGCCACCAGCTAGCCACGAATGTGAGTGCCCAGACAGACCCAATTTGGTGGGGAAGTTGAGAAATGAAAGAATATTTCTTCTAACTTTGGGCAAGGCACTGTGTTCAACACTCTCAGACAATAATGTCTGTTGGCCAGAGTCCCATGGAAGAAGGAACATTGTCAAGTGCTAGGACACTGGAAAGGGAAGAGTCTTGAGTTTCTGAAGTTCTAATTATTGACTTTATAAATGAGAAAATGGGCCTACAAAGAGGAACAGTGATTTGCCCATTGCAGGGTAATTACCGGAGAAATTATGCCTCTTCATCTTGGCTTTGTCAGTGTCAAATGAAGGGAAAGAGATTTTGGTCTGGGGTCCTTGGGGCACAAAAAGGAGGCCTGGAGAGGACAAAACAAGAAAAGAAAAATATTTCTCAGCACAAAACAATAAAGAAGATGCTTGTCTAGCAGTCCACTGATAATGACCCATATTTTCCCCAGAAATGAAGGAAAACCCTATTACTAAATCACCATTTGCTAAATCAATTTAGTTATTGATAGCCCACAGTTGACAACTGAAATCTTGCCCAATAATCTATTTATCTTAATAAAACTGTTTCAGTAGTATTATGAATAATTTAGAACTTAAAGCCTGAAAATATGTATGTACTTTTCTTTATGTATAATTTTCAGCAGGGGTCCCTTGAGTTAAGAAATCCTTTCCACATTATGCTTCATTTTAATGGCACACCTAGGATTACTACATTTCATTCAACATGCTAAGAAGATGTACAAATGATAATTACTTTGGTGGGTCTTCCTTTCTTCAAAATGCCAAGCTGAACAACTTCCTGTATAATTCTACATCTGAAATCCTTTCTCACGGAATTGTTTGAGCACACTAGGCAAAGGTTTCTGCATAGCTTCTACTCCTTCTTGAGTTTGTACAGTAGAAGTTTTGCTTAGGAACAGAGTTGGGGCTGTGTACACATGGTTGAAGTGTTCCAAAGTAACACCCCAGGACCTCCGGATCTGGGCACTTTGGTAGGCTATTTGACCTGTCTGGATTCTGTGACCCAATAAATCACAGCTACAGAGAAGTTGATACCAAGGACAAAAACAACTAATTATGTCTCACTCAAACTGACTGCTTTGCCACCTAGATAAAACATTTGAAATAGGGAACATCTTAAATGTCATTACTGTATCATGCAGTATTTGTGAACATTTATTTTTATTGTGATGACTTCTTGAAAACAGGTATTTGAATAGGTGCTTTATCTTCTATGAAACCCATGCTCTTCTTATTGATTACAGTGGAATTACAGTGAAGAGCCTGTTGCAGAATAACTGACTCCAATTTAAGATTATAGTTGGGTTCTGGGTAGGAACCTGATTTATGCCACGGATTCATCAGCAAAAAAAAGTACAAAATTAAGAACTCTTCAAAATGCAATTCTTACTCCTCCTACCAAACCTTTAACTTGAAATGTCTTAGGATAAACCCAGCTTACAAAGATTCACAGATGATTTTGATGTTACCAGCACTTAAAAAATAATAACATTAATATTAGTTAATATTAATAATACTAATTAATACACCATTCTGACCACAGTAGCTGAAGGTATATCGCTCCTCATGCAATTAGTATAAAATGTTCCTTAAAGTTATCAGGATATATGGCAACGTACACACAGTCTTAGTGACTCAACCAGTTGACTCTTGGCTGGATTGACCCTTGGTTAATCTGTAAGTGAGTAGTAATTAGTCAATCTAGTCAGAATGGAAGCAAGCTTGAGGACAAAGGTGCATGGCTTTAATATACCTAACTCCAAGGTCAGCACTTTATTTCACTGTCTACATTTCAAATGAAGGCATTCTTGGTACATTCATCTTTATAAATGGATAGACTGAGAAACAGAGAAGTTAAATGATTTATTCAGACTCAATTTGGGAGTTATTCCCAGAGCCTCAAATATTCCTCTAGGTGTATGATTTCTCAGTCTCGAAGTCATGTCTCAAATAGAGAGGTCTCCAACTAAAGTGAAACCAATCAAAAAAGGAAATTCAAAGGGCTAAAATCCCCATACCAACCCAGCATAAATGAGGTGATCAGTTCCTACTAACTGCCTCATACCAGCTTCTGTTGGAGAAAGTACCACCACCCTGTGAAGTTTGGCCAGGCTTCTTTCTATATCTGGGCACATACAAAGCATTTATGCTTCAAAGGAACCAAATAACTCCTTTGATTTTCCTTCAGTGTGAGTCAGAAACAGTTGTAGCTCCTTGGTGTACTGCTAAATGTTAAACCACTGGCAGTGGAGAACTGTGGTTCTCCAATTTCTGTGGTGTAAATACTCTCAGCATAACCAATTTATAGCTACTGACTTAATTTCAACCAAATGAAAATACAACAGTCTTTTCAGGAGCCAGTACAAGCTGGCTTCCAAATGAGCTGCCTCCAGCACAGCACTGCCTGAACAATTTCCAAGTCAGTGAGTAGCAAACAGAAGAGGCTAGCGGTAGCTTTACAGGGACACCCAAGTGTCCCTTTCTGACAGGGGAGCATTTTCCACCTTGGACAATTTAACTAATTTTTAGTAAAAGACTGTTGTTTGGGCTGAGGATGTACTCAACTGGTTGAGCACTTGCCTAACAGGCATGAAACTCTGGGTTTAATCAGCAGCACACACATAATATAGATTAGATAGATAGATAGATAGATAGATAGATAGATAGATAGATAGACAGACAGACAGACAGATAGATAGACAGATAGATTGATTTTAGGCTAAGGCCCTAAAGGGTCAAAATTTAGTCTTGCCCTCTGCTGTTAGGAACCTCTAAACAGCTTCTTCAGCACAATAGATTATCAGCAGTGGATTTTCTAATTTCAGAGTGACCTTCCAAGTCCATAAATATTCTCTAATTTAACTGTCAGTTGGAACCATGTTTGGCTGATTTTTTGTAAAAATGTTTGGCTGACTTTTTTTTCCAGTACCAAGGACAGAGCCCAGAGCCTTCGCACGGAGCCACATCGTCATCTAGGGTCTTGCTGGACCATTAAGTTGCCCAGGCTGAGCTTAAACTTGCACTCTTCCTGCCGCAACCTCTCAGAGTGTTGGGACTACAGGCTTGCATCACCATGAGCACCTTCTATCTTTTTAATCCTATAGCCCATTGCCTGTTTCCTCGATTCTGCACTTTACACTATCCTCTTGCTCATGTTCCTTCTGACAAAGCATAAAATTCAGAAGCATCCATTAAACAGGCCAAAAATGGTACAGGGTAAAAAAATATTCAGCTTACCTGGTCCCATGTACCTGCAGAGGCTCCATGATTTGTCTGTACCCCACCAAGAGACACAGCTAAGGATCATGACTGCAATCTGCATGTGCATACAGCAGCCTCTTCCCTTAGAAAAGTCATTAATGATGAAAAATTACCACTGAACTAGAACAATTCTGGGCAACTAAGGTGGCTGAGTGGGTACACTGTGGAAAGCAAGGTAACAGATGATTCTTCACATTTAGCTAAGTATAAATCTATCTGGAAAAGAAATCTACCCACAATCATGTGGCCACTGCAGTCCTCTGGCACAGAACAGGAGAGCAGCTGTCCTCCCTTGCCACTGGTCACGAGTGGACCTTGGCTGAGTGTTTAAAATTCACATGCCCTGACAATGCACAGAACGTGCTTACAAATTAAAAGTTTTTCTGATGGAAGTCATTTTGAAGTGGGTTAATTAAATCTTGTGGAAGGACATGCTGGGGAAAAATACTTAATTCTTCAGACATAGTGAATGGCTATAGGTGTTTGTTCTGCATGGAGTGAACCAAAATTAGATTATGAAGGACCAAATCTACTTTCCTTGCTGTATGTAGTAAAATACCCTTCAGGTTTTATAAGGCATTTCTACACTGCAAATGTTTAAAATTCAAGCTGGAAATGTTTTATACAGTATTATGTTTAAAAGGCCAGGGTATATCTCCATTTTCTGTTCTTCTTAACAAGCATTGAAATTAGCTTGTTTTTCTACACTGAGCAAGCACCTTTTGTTTTAAATGAGTCAGGCATATGTTTGAGTGGTTTTCTGTGTTCCCAAAAAGTTTTGTGTAGCTTGGACACAAAGTACACTCTTCCTGTGGCTCTTCCCGATGCCAAAGAGATAAGTCCATAGCTATAAGCACAAGAGACTTGCCCAGAAGGCCCCATTTCATCCTGAACAAATTTCCAGCAAAACCATCCTTGAGGAACTAGTGGTGATCATATTTTTTTCTGGGGAGGTAGGGATGAAAAATTAATAGACAATGAAAACGAGGTTTTGTTCAAACATAGAGGTGGAATAAAGTCACTGGGGCACTTGCAAATTGGAGGGAGAGATTTCCCTTGAAATACAGAATATAGACCATTTTGTAAAACTTAGAGTTACTGCATTCCACATTAGAACTGCTGTTTACCCACGTTGCAAGATCAGATCTGCAGAAAGCAGCTTTACAGCAAGACACCTACAAAGGATTTGTGATGGGCTGGAATTCAATCACTAAGTGTCAGCAGTTAGCTGACACTGAAATTCTCCCAGGACACAGGACAAACACACTGAAAGCATCACAGCACAGGATTATTCACTCACCTGGGATGGCCACCTAAGCCCATATCAGAACTTCACTATCTCATTATCTCAGGCCTACATTTCAGATCAACATCCTCTGTGTGCAGATGAGGTCCAGAAGGCCGGAGGGACATCTCTGCTCAATTGGAATTAGAGTGTGGGTCTCTCAGCCACTGATTTCATGTCACTCTATTCTGTCTCTGTTCTTTAGGTGGAAGTTGACATTCCATTGTGAAAGCATAAATTAGAAGTAGAATCAAAAGAATATTTGTGATATTTTCTCTCATTTTACCTATTAAGTTTTCACTATTTCATTTTAGCATCATGTTAAAGAATATTAGTGTAGAATGAAGAGCAAAGCTCTATATGGAGTAAATGAAACTAAAAGATCAAAAAGCAGAACAGTGAATGTGAGTAATTAAAGAAATGAGCAAGAAGCATGTGTCAGAGAAAATAAATGACTCTTATGTTATTACCATAACACCCTCCCTCCACACTTGACGCATTTGTTTTAGAAAAAGTATCTTATGCTGAGAGACTTGTACTGAAGACTTTGCCCCTTCCCAACTGCATCACAAGTTCCCTTGCCCTTTGGAAGAAGCCGTGGCTCTTAAGAATCAGACTCGCTGGTCTTGTGAGAGGCGGCCTCACCTGCCCTTGGAAACTGAAGTTGCTGCCTGAGGGTAAGGGCCACAGACACCTGGAAGAAACCAGCCCTGCTGGACTGAGGACCATGTAAATACCTTCTACCTTCTCAGTGAACAAGGATGATCATCTTTCATAGAGGTAACTGCGTGTATATTGTGACTGTGGTTTGTCAGAAACTGCAACGGTTTGCTTCGACAGCTCCCCAAATGTACCTGTTAAGTGTGAATGTGCCTGCCTCATTGCCTCATGTGCCAAACACAGTAATGAATGCATTGTTTTTAAATAAATTGTTTTATTGTGCATTGGAAAACACTACTGGTTGTCTCTATCCCATTTGGAAGACCCCCCCCCAGACGCACACATTTTCTCTCTCTCTCTCTGTCTTTGCATGCAATGAAGAGACTGAGTGTATCCTTTTTCATTCTCTGGTGTGAAGCCTTCTCTTAGAGGTATGAAGAAAGTTGGGTATGGATGTCTAGAGTCATGAACTAGTAGCAAATGACAAAAGCACCCCATGCACCCTCCTCCATAGGGCTTTTAAATGCAAATCATGCAATAGGACTTGCCAATAACAATAATAATAATAATAATAATAGTAATACATAGCTCTTGACTGTTACAATCACACACATCATTTTACTTAATCAAGAATTGGGTGAGAGGGCTGGGGATTTAGCTCAGCGGCAAAAGCGCCTGCCTGGCAAGCGCAAGGTCGTGAGTTCGGTTCCCGGTACCGGAGAAAAACCAAAAACAAAAAAAAAACAAAAAAGAAGAATTGGGTGAGGGATGGCCTGGGGATTTAGCTCAGTGGCACAGTGCCTGCCTGGCAAGCACAAGGTCGTGAGTTCTATTCCTGGTACCGGAAAAAAAAACAAACAAACAAAAAAAAGAATTGGGTGAGGGAGACACCTTGAGGGACTTAGATCATGCTGCTCAGCTAGTGATGGTCCAAGTGGGAACTCAGCCTGGCTCTTCTTCCTGTACTTTTACATCCTTGCATCTCTCATTAGGTCACCTGTTCATAGAACCTTCCCAGAATTTCACAACAGCCCTTATCCCCTACTCTGTGTTATTCCTCTCATGTCTGCACTGTGTCTCATTTCTAGAAGTAATACTTAGTTATACTCTGTTTATCTCTGTCTTCCACTGTATTACAAGCTCTACCTTATACAACATAAGAACTGGCCTGTCTTGTCATTTTGTGTCCTTAACATCTAGAACAGAAGCCTAGTAGACTCACAATGGATAGTTATAGGATGGATGAATAGACAGATGGATAGTTAGGTGGATGGACAGACAGACATATCATAGTGTATCATTTCAGTTCTTTTTTTCCTTATCTCCCTCTACATCTTTGTGCTTATATCATACACAAAAAGTCCTGGCTCATCTCTTACTATGCTGCCTCAGATAGCACCATGAATACTACTCAACAAGCATTTGTTGATGGAATACATGAACGGTCCTAGTAATTATTGTTCTCAATATCCATGTCCAACATCAAAAATGTCCTGGCACAGTAAATGTGCTAAAACACATTCTGCTCTTGTGCCTGATGTATTGCAATACACAGCAAAAGGAGAAACCAGAATAGGGTAAAAAATTGAGAATGACTGAAAAGATCCAACTTCAGTAAGCACAGTTGATTGTCTGTGGGCTTTGCTTCTCTCTAGTTCAAATCAAAAGCCCTTATTGCTCACTGTGTATAACACTGGACAGATAGAAACAGGATACAGAATTAGCAAAATCATAATACCTGTCCAGAAGGAACTGAAAGTCTTGTTGAGAAAACTATTCAACAGAATGTAAGGAAGTTTCTCATCCTGAACCATTTAGGGGATATTGCAAGTGGAGGTGAGAGAGAAAGAGAGAGGCAGAGAGGGAAATGAGTGGCTGCATGAAATTCTAGAAAAGACAATTAAAAATACTAGAGGGTCAAATGGAAAGCTCAGGGTTTACATTTCTTAAAGCTATTTGCCAGGCTGAAGATTTCTTTCCTACTCATTCTCTCCCATCCCACTACCAAGGGGGGGGAGAGAGAGAGAGAGAGAGAAGAGAGAGATTTTAAAAACACTTTACAAACTAAAACAAAACATGAAATCAACACCAAGTTTATTGCAGACTCTCTGCCTGGGGCTCATTAGTACAAATTAAATTTTAAAAAATAGAATTTTTTCCTAAGAAAATGCATTGCCACAGTTTGATCAAGACAAAGAGGATTAGAAAAAGAGAGAAACTCCCTTCATGAAAGGACCAACCTGAGCCCAAGGCTGGTGGCCAGGAAAGAAGCAGGGCTTTCTGCTTCATCTGCGCAAGAGTGGGAGCTCCTCCTTCAGCCAGGCTTCTGTGGGGTCCAAAGGTCTGGAGGAGGCTGACAGCAACCTCAGCTCCAGAGGTGGTTCCCACTTTTGTGTGATTCCTGGTGAGTAGGGTTAGCTCATGGAAGAAGCCACTCTGAATATAATTTATACCATTCGGCATGTCCCAGGTGATCAGGAGCTTAGAGATTGAATAAATTCATTCTGTCAGTTCTGAAGAACTGAGGCTCAGCAAGAGAAAGTAATGCTTCCAAATGTACTCTCCTAGCAAGCAACCTTCCAGGTACTTTATCAACTTTTACAGGAAGAAAAAGAAAACAAAGTTATTTTTGTGTCAACTAATAATTCTCAACCCTAAGTATTTAAGGAAAGTCTATTTATTTTACTTAATGATATTACAAAAATATTCATAAGAAAATAGGGATAAGCAAAAAATTGCCAGCTGGACATGTAATCTAAGTGCTCAGGAGGCTGAGGCAGGAGGACTGCTGTGAGTTTGAGGCCAGCCTGAGCTATCTAGTGAGTTCAAGGCCAACCTGAGACTTTAACACAAAAAAAGAAAGAAAAAAAGAAAAATATCAGGAAACCACTTAAACTTTTCACCTGTTTTCCTGATTCTTTTACAGCATACATTCTCTTATAGTTTCTGCTTTTCTCCCCATTTAAACATAGATTAAGAACATCATTTTATGTAATTAAATCTACAATAAGCTCAAAGAATGAATATTAAAGCACAAGTTATTTAATCACTTCTCTATTGTTTCAAATTTAGATTTTCTGTAATTTTTTGTTGTTATACATAGTACTCTGAAAACCATTTTTTTGGTAATTAAATGTTAGATTATCTCCTTGGATAAATCCCTTGAAGTGGGTTTCAAGAGCTTTAAGCAATTTTTGTAAGGGTAATCATTTTCAAAGCCGGCCAGAATATCCTAGTAGAAGTTTTCTGACCAAGTTTTCCAAATCTTTATTTCCCTAGAAAACTTAAAACAAGGTTAGGGGAAAAGTACGCATCACCATTGAGGATGACTTCCTCAACAGAGAAAGCCTTTTTACGTATGAAACTCAGGTATGTAAATAAACTATTGTGTGCTACTGAAATTCAGTTACCATATCTCTTGTTCAGGAAGTAGAAGAACTCCACACACTTAAAGAGAGAAAGCCCATCCAATTGCAGTCTCATTACTAATCAAATAAAAGCCACCCAGGACCATCTGGGAGAGACGGACCTTCAATACAATGATAGATAGCTCTTTTCCTTATTTGAAGAGTATGTTTATTGCTTACTCAAGCCAACCAACTTAATAATGCTTCCAATTCACATTAAGTCCAAGAAGTCAAAATGAGGAGGTTAAACCAATCTACCTTAAGGCCACACTAATCCCATAGATCTGTTGTTTTTGTTGAACCTGTTTAAATCAATATCTCTAGTTCTATAGGAAAGATATATCATTAAGCAAATTCAAAATATTAACATATAGATTTTTCAAGGCAAATATTGTTAAGAGTGAATAGAGCAATCACCACAGAATTCTCTACCTACCACTGTTCTTTTAGGCAAATCTACATTTGTACAAAAAATATCAGTAGATATATTGCTTTCTGTGGGCCTTACAGTTTCTGTCACAATTACCCAGCTCTGCTGTTATAGCACAAAAACAGCCATATATGATATACAAATGAAACAGTATGGCTGTGTTCCAATAAAACTTTATTCATAAAAACAGGCAGCCACCAGATTTAGCCTGGGGACATAAATTGACAACTCCTGCTTTGGATTTCAAACTACTCACTGTGTGTAAAATATATCATTTGTTTTTCATTGTATTTGTTTTCTAGGGTGGTTTAAAACAACAAATGTGCTGCCTGGTGGTGCTAGAGTCAAAAGGTATGAAATCAAGGTGTCTGCAAGGCTGATTCCTCAGGGAGTTCAAGAGATAATCTGTTTTCTGCTTCTCTCCTTTGTTCCAGTAGCTTCCAGAACTCTTGACATTCCTTGACTTATATAACTCCAGTCTCTTCCTCTATCTTCTCTCCTCTTGTAAGGATTCACAATTAAATTTAGGGCCCACCCTAGTCCAGGGTAATCTCGTCCCAAGTTGCTTATCTTTGTTTCATCTGTAGAGACTCTCATTATAAGCAAGGTCGCATTCTGAGTTTTGAGGTAGACATATCTGTTGAGTGCCACAGTTCAACCATCTACATCCATTGCCAGCAATACCTTAACACAAAGTAATTCAAGAACACACATGGAGTAGAGCCCACAGGACACAATTCTACAATGTACAGACCCAGGTGCATTCTGGGTGTGATTACACCCATTGCAAGGTAACAAATAAATCCATCCTACAAAAGCCCAACAGCAGTATTGGGTAATGGAAGTTATGTCTTCAGATTAATTAGATTTTACAAAGCTCTCCACTGTCTGTGGAGAGTAAATGAATGTTCTTCTAACAATAGACTCAGAAACAAATCAAACACCCCTTCCAAAATCAACAAATCCTAATGACATCCCTAATAGACAAGAACTCATTTCCCACACCAAGGAGCTGCTCAGTGCCAGGGATATTGATCTTAAGTGAGTTTTCTGACTGGGGCACATGTACCACATTGAAAGAAAAAACACAAATGGAGAAAATATGAAAGTTGGCCAACCTATGACATGAAGTGATAAGTTCTAAACTGTTTCAGTGGACACAGATGTTCAACACCTTAAAGATCAATTTAAAACTCATTCTCATCTTTTTGGCACATATCACAGATATATAGATATAGATCTAAACAACTTTAGTCACAAACACTAATACACCTGATTTAGCTTACAGAAACCTCTGTGACCTAATCAGAAAACCAAGTCTGGTGGGAACAAAAGTGAAATTTAGTCGGAGATTCTTTCCTCAGACATGAGACATGTTGAAACCACCTTTAACAACATGTAGGAGATAGTAACAGAGGCTGATTGAGAGACTTAAAAGAGAGAAAAGTCAGAGTTCA